CAAGAGTATTTTTATCTTAAGTAGATTAAATGTTACCTAGTGCTTCTCAAAAACAAGAAGCTCGTCTGATTCTTTAAAGCTTGGCCTTTAAACTGTTCATCAGTTTCTCCAATTTCATTGCTTTCTGAAGATCACCGCTAATTTTCAGTTTTCCCATTACGAATGCTGTTGTAGGTTTCAGTTTCCCTGAACGAATAAGAGACGTCTCGTTAAAATCAAATTTGAAATTCAGAGTCGAACTTACTTACCAGCGAACATAGCGAAAAAGTTCGTAGAATCCATTGTCAGCGTAGCATCTGGCGGTTGATTAGGTTCTCCTCTCCCTACTGCACCCTTGCCGTTCTTGAGATCCAAGAACCACACACCAGCTTCGTCACCTTCAGTTTTTCATACGAATTAATACAGTTCTTCATAGTACTAGAAACTTATGTGTACATTACCTTTAACATTAAATTGAAATATTGCTCCTGTTTTATTAACTAGCTCACTGTTTAAGTTAGCTTCAATAGCAGTGAATAACTGTGCTATCTTTTCTTCTGATTTATTAGCACTCTGCATTTTCTTCGATGTTATCTGGTTTTCTAAACCCGCTTCTAAATTTTCTTCTAAGAAGAAGTCCAGCATCAGTTTATCCTTGTTTTCTAAAAAGGGAACGAATGTAATTGTAGCAAGTACTATCCACGGTGCATGAATAATAACAGAATATATTTAATGTACCTGGATTGCATGCGTACTCGGTAAAATCGATGATTCCTTCACTTTTTAATATTTCCTCGTCAACTAAAAATTGACCAGTGACAGACTTACTGTCTTTACAAATTAAAGCATATACAGCGTCTCCCATTATTTCGGGTTTGCGACTAAAAGTACTTGCTTCAGAGCCAGACAGCATTTCAATCGCGGCGGTGTAAATAGCTGTAATAATAATAATTTTGAATCTATAAAAGAAATTAATTTATCAATGGTAACTTACCAGTCTTTGGCCAAACTGCATTCACAGCAATACCGTGTTCTTTAAATTCCTCAGCCATCCCAAGAGCACACATCGACATGCCAAATTTAGATATTGTGTAGGCGACATGATTCTTAAACCATATAGGTTTAATACTCAACGGTGGGCTAATGTTCACTATGTGAGGATTCGTGCTCTTTTTCAAATAAGGTATGCACACCTTTGACCTTAAAAAGAGCACTATCTAATTTTTACGTCTTATGCAGAGCTAGATCATTCGCACTTACACTAAAAATGTTCCTCTGGTATTGATGTTGTTCATAAGATCGTACTTTTTCATATCTGTGGATTCTGTGCCTGTCAAAGAAATAGCACTTGCATTATTAATAACGATATCGATACCACCGAACTTCTTAACTGCACTCTCTACTGCAGAAATTACTTGCGCCTCGTCTCTTACATCTACGACACAGGGCAATGCCTGTCCACCCACTTGTTCGACTGAAATTTAATAACGATAGAAATGAATTTCAACTGATCAACCATCATTAGAAGCTCCTTCTCGCATTTATAATTACTCTCTTGGGCAGCAGTGTATATAGTGCCTGGCAATTTGGGATGTGGCTCCGCAGTTTTAGCTGCGATAACAATATTCGCTCCATCCTTCGCAGCTTTCAATGCAATACTTTTCCCAATTCCTCTCGAAGCACCAGTAATAAAAATCGTGCGGCCAGCTAATTTTCTGAATTAAACATTCACAGTGACTTAACATTATTTTATCGATTCGTTCCCGATTTTACGAGCGAGCTAATGTTTGTTTAGATTTAGAAAACGAAGATAACAGTAGGCGATTTGTTAATCAAATCTGTTAGGTATTATTTTACGTTTAAACAATCTGTTTCACTGTCGGATAAGAATTTACTTAAAATAATCATACGTACCCCGTATTGATCATATTGCGAATAGATCGTCGACTTGTCACTAACGATACGCGTAAGATGTAGAATGCAGTATATTTATTCTATTAACAGAATGATTAGCTAGAAATCTCATATAATTTACACTTCGAGTAGAACTGTCACTTCACGATAACGGTACAACGTTCAATAGTCCAATTCACGTATTGGATTAATTATCGTAGCATTAAAACTACATGCTATCTTCGACAACATGGCGAGAATTCAAGTGGACCGATAAAAACTGTCTACGACTTATTTATAATCTATAACTTTTGCTATCTGTAACTGAAACGAGCAAAAATAAATCGTCAATTTCTATGCAATAATGTGTGTCATTCAGGGTTCAGGCTATTCATTTACCTCGTCATTGTCGTTCGACCTCAGCTGTCGTCAGATATAGCAATAAGAAATATACAAGGTATTTCGCGAGAGCCGTAGAAAATGAACCTCTTTTATTTCGTTAATCGTGTGTAATATTATAATGATCGCATCGTAAAATTTCTACGCGCGATTTACTAGTAGAACAGTTCGTGATCTAGGGTTATGCCTATACCGGTGTAACAATGTGTGGAATTTTCTGTCATATCTTCCAAAACGAGAAAAATGATAAACAAACTTCGCACGAGGTATTTAATTATATAGGTAATATATTCAAATCGACGCGTTGGGATAAACGTGTAAGATTATTTATTTCTGTTCTTAGTGGAACATCTGCAGGGATTTCATAACTGCTCGTGGCCCTGACAAGTTGTCAGAACGATTTGAAAGTTTGTCTTCAAATTGGTTTGGTCACTTCGTTTCCTCTGTTCTGTGGATGCAAGGTTCAAATGTAATCGAACAGCCTGCTATTGATTCGACTGGTAATATTCTCTTGTGGAATGGAGATATCTTCTCTGGAAAACTGGTAAATATTGTCCATTGAGCATATGTAAATATGTCAAGAAAAAAACTGAGTGATTGCATACTTTATTCTAGGCTCAAGGTGATTCGTGTGATACCAATGCATTATTAAACGCCTTACAATCTTCTTTGAACGTTGCATCAGTGTTTGAAAGAATTCAGGGCCCATACAGTTTTATATACTTTCAGAAGTCCACTAAACTTTTATATTTTGGTAGAGATATAATAGGGAGGCACAGTTTACTTTTGAGACTAACTAATGATGAGAACGTTTTAACTCTAACATCTGTTGCTAGTAAAGAATTAGACAGAATCATAGAGGTTCCTGCAATTGGAATCTTCGCTTTGAATTTGTCTCATTCGAGAATAAATCTTGCTTGTTATCCATGGAGGGAACCAGATTTAAGATTCACAGATATTATCGAAGCGCTGGAAGCAAACTTAGGGGTAGACATCGACATTAAAGAGACGGTCTTAAAATATGATACATCAACGTGTCTGCATTTGCATCCCAATATCGATGATTTAGAATATCTGGAGAACAGTCCGTTCTTTGACAATCCTTATAAAACGTTAGAATATTTACTGGAAAATAAACTTATTCAGGAAAGGGTAGACAATCTGTCGCAGCTTCTTCACGCCGCTGTTGAAGTTCGAATAAATAAGCAGCCAAAATTTTGTAAAACATGCATCGCGTCAGCTTTAAACGATGAAAGTATAGTCTGCGATCACGCGAAAATCGGTATTTTATTTTCTGGCGGTTTGGACTCCGCTATTTTAACGTTGATCGCCGACAAATATGTAGATCAGCACGAGCCCATCGACTTGATCAACGTCGCGTTCGAAAAGTCAATTAACACGTCTAAAAGGAATAACGAGGCGGAGGATCGTTACGATGTTCCCGATAGGAAAACCGGAAAACAAACGTTCATAGAACTTACGAATCTTTGCTCGAAGCGGAAATGGAACTTCGTAGAAGTGAATATCAGTCAAGCAGAATTGCAGAAATATCGTTCCTCGCGTATCTGCAATCTACTCTATCCATTGTGCACTATTTTGGACGAAAGTTTGGGTTGTGCTGTGTGGTTTGCGAGTCGTGCTAAGGGCACCGTGGATTCGGAAAAATACGAGTCCCCGTGCAGAATACTTCTCTTAGGCATGGGAGCGGATGAACTGTTCGGAGGATACATGAGACACAGAACGATTCTCAGGCACAAGGGATGGGACGCACTGTCGCAGGAATTGAATATCGAAGTAGCTAGAATCTCTGAGAGAAACCTGGGTCGCGATGATCGTATCGTGTCTGATCACGGAAGACAATCTAGATTGCCATACTTAGACGAGAACGTAGTTGAATACGTTCAGCAATTAAAACCATGGGAAAGGTAAATTAAGAGAATTATAATTACTAAGAAGAGATTCTAATTGAGTTATTCGTAGGTGTTATCCCACGGATAAAATGCCGTCAGGCTTAGGAGATAAGTTGCTCCTACGTTTGGTAGCGTGTAAGCTCGGTTTCCGAAACACTGCCAATTTCCCTAAGAGAGCTTTCCAATTTGGTTCCCGTATCGCTAATGGTAAAGAAAACGCCAAAAATATATCGGATCGTTTGTGAAACTATTATTACATGATAATTGAAACGGGCATTGAGAGGTTTGTAACGCAATGCAAAATTAGTGCCTCAATCCCGGAAATCGGGAAATGGATTTTTTATTCTCTAATGAGTTTAAAGCTATGGGACTTTATTTGTTTCGATGAATCCAGAGGATCCCGAGTTAAGTTCTCTGATTTTTTATACTCTACCTCAACGGTATGCCTACTTTCAACAAGACTGTGATAGTTCATATATGTTACAGTCCTTGCCCTTTTCATGTACTGTATTAAACTTCGTGTGCACAT